CAGTGAGAGGCAAAATAACAACAACAAAATCCAGAAAAACGCATGTCAAAATAGTTATAAATTGATTTGCATTTTAATGAGAGAAATACGTATTTGACCCCCTCTCAATCAGAACGATTTCTGGCTCCCAGGTGTCTTTTATACAGGTAACGAGCTGAGATTAGGAGCACACTCTTAAAGGAAGTGCTCCTAATCTCAGCTTGTTACCTGTATAAAAGACACCTGTTCACAAACTCTCCACCATGGCCAAGACCAAAGAGCTCTCCAAGGGTGTCAGGGACAAGATTATAGACCTACACAAGGCTGGAATGGGCTACAAGACCATCGCCAAGCAGCTTGGTGAGAAGGTGACAACAGTTGGTGCGATTATTCACAAATGGAAGAAACACAAAAGAACTGTCAATCTCCCTCGGCCTGGGGCTCCATGCAAGATCTCACCTCGTGGAGTTGCAATGATCATGAGAACGGTGAGGAATCAGCCCAGAACTACACGGGAGGATCTTGTCAATGATCTCAAGGCAGCTGGGACCATAGTCACCAAGAAAAGAGTTGGTAACACACTACGCAGTGAGGACTGAAATCCTGCGGCGCCCGCAAGGTCCCCCTGCTCAAGAAAGCACATATACATGCCCGTCTGAAGTTTGCCAATGAACATCTGAATGATTCAGAGGACAACTGGGTGAAAGTGTTGTGGTCAGGTGAGACCAAAATGGAGCTCTTTGGCATAAACTCAACTCGCCGTGTTTGGAGGAGGAGGAATGATGCCTATGACCCCAAGAACACCATCCCCACCGTCAAACATGGAGGTGAAAACATTATGCTTTGGGGGTGTTTTTCTGCTAAAGGGACAGGACAACTTCACCGCATCAAAGGGACGATGGATGGGGCCATGTACCGTCAAATCTTGGGCGAGAACCTCCTTACCCCAGCCAGGGCATTGAAAATGGGTCGTGGATGGGTATTCCAGCATGACAATGACCCAAAATACACAGCCAAGGCAACAAAGGAGTGGCTCAAGAAGAAGCACATTAAGGTCCTGGAGTGACCAAGCCAGTCTCCAGACCTTAATCCCATAGAAAATCTGTGGAGGGAGCTGAAGGTTCGAGTTGCCAAACGTTAGCCTCGAAACTTTAATGACTTGGAGAAGATCTGCAAAGAGGAGTGGGACAAAATCCCTCCTGAGATGAGTGCAAACCTGGTGGCCAACTACAAGAAACGTCTGACCTCTGTGATTGCCAACAAGGGGTTTGCCACCAAGTACTAAGTCATGTTTTGCAGAGGGGTCAAATACTTATTTACCTCATTAAAATGCAAATCAATTTATAACATTTTTGACATGCGTTTTTCTGGATTTTGTTGTTGTTATTCTGTCTCTCACTGTTCAAATAAACCTTCCATTAAAATTATAGACTGATCATTTCTTTGTCAGTGGGCAAACGTACAAAATCAGCAGGGGATCAAATACTTTTTTCCCTCACTGTAGTAGTGTAGTGTATAGTGTCTTGTATATTCGTGTATAGTGTAGTAGTGTATAGTGTAGTCGTGTAGTGTATAGTAGTGTATAGTGTATAGTAATGTAGAGCTAGATTCTGCCTCCAGGGAACGGGTGGTCTGGACCGCCACTCAACACGCTGCCGCCGCGACCCTCACCAGGACAAGCGGACTGAGAAACGAACGGACGAACAAAGTATGGGCGAGTGTCATCGTCCTGTACTCTAGAAGCCGACCGAAACTAAATTTCTGGTTTCGGCCGAAACTGAAACCAGACCGAAAGTAAAACAATTGACTTTCGGCCGAAACCAAAGCTGAAACCGAAAGTTTCACTTCACTTTCGACCAAGACCGAAACAGAAAGCTATATAACCGAAGTTACCGAACACAAGATTTATGAAATACTAGCTTTACTACCCGGCTTCGCGCGGGACTTAAATCCACCACGGCGGGCCGCCTTTGTCTCCCCAGTGGCGATGTTGACATACCACACCACTTACTCGTTTGAGGCTGAGTCGACCTAGAGGAGGCTCAGGACCGGTTCAAATAATCGTCACCGGTCGTGAGCTGGAATCGAACTCGGGCCGCCGGGTTCGTACCGCAGTGCGTGAATCGCTACGCAGTCGCTGCCCCCCACCCCACCCAGGTGCGTGACATCATTTATTGACGCCCCCAGACCACAAGCTGCTGCTGCTGCTGCAGACGTGTGTGTGTGTATGCAGCCTATCGCATAGGATTGCCGAGCGCCGACTGACCGGCTGATAGACGTAGCACTAGCGTTATATTCTAAAAATAGATCTTCGGTGGACGATCGAAAGTCAATATCAGTTTCGGCCGAAACCGAAACCAGACCGAAAGTTAAAAATTGACTTTCGGCTGAAACCGAATGTATGCCGAAAGTTGGATCCCTTTGATGCTGCTAATCCTGCATAATTCACGGGCATAATATGACTTTGAAACCCCCCGCCCACCTCCTACGCATTTCCCATAAATATGCTAAATTCCTCTTGATATGCAAATTATTTTGTCAAGGCGCTCTTATTCCCCCCTCCAACCCAGCTTAAATATACGCTCCAAGCTTGGTGGTGTTTCATTCTTCACCTGAGGACGGCTGCTTGCGTTGTGGCCGAAACGTCGTGAGAATAATTTTATTATGTTTTATTTTTATTATTTTATTACTTCTCATCTACGTGACTTTACCGAAAGAACCAAGAAGATGATATGCCGAAGGTGTCCATTTGCCAACTTTCGACGCCGAAACCGAAATCGAATTTCGGTCGGCCTCTACTTTACACATTCTCACAGGGTGACACTTTCAAAGTGTAAACCTACTGATGTGGCTACGTACGGTGCGAAAGAAGTTCAACACACACACAGGTGCATCTTTCATGCGGACTGTGGTTATTTGCAGTCACTAAATCACTTGCAAGCGAAATGCACTTGGAAAGTAATCTGGAGGCGGGCGAGTTCCACTATGAGAACTGCATCCTTGCAAGCCCATCGATGTTAAAAAAAAGTGAATTTGTAAAACATGACATTTTAATATGAATGAGATAAAGGAAGTAGCACACACGGCAGTTTCACGCGCGTTGTGTGCGACGGCGTCGCAATTCATCGCACCTGACAATTCTGAGATTGCACGCTCCCAGGTAAGTGCCCTGTAATGTTTCCTGCTGCTGACGGGAAGGCGCCGAACTTATGGAAAGTTCGCCCTGATTCATCCAACTCGGCGGACTTCTGATACAGCGGCAACTTTTTAATGAAAAGTGTTTTATTTTTATTTTACAATGATGGATTTTTCTCGTGCAAAACCAACCTCTTGATTTGGTGACGTCCAAGCGGAATTGTGTGGTTTGTGTGAAGCCATCTGTCACTGCAGTGTAGTCCAATTACATTGTTTTAATTGACACAGGAAACGTTCTTCTGATTTGTAACTCATAGGCATGAGTTACACATTGCTGTTTGAGCTATGAAATCGGTACACAATTGTCTACTTTTGCGAATAGTGATAGATGCTCGATAACAGCACTTTCCCCAACAGTCTGTTAAGGCTATATGGGGTATCTTTGTCTTTGCACAGCAGCAGGGGCCCGGGGTTCGATTTCCAACTACCTGCACGCACGCACACGTGTGACAAATGCTGCGTTCATTCAAAACGTTCTACAGGAAACGGTTTCTGGATCCTGACCTTTGAAACCGGTAATCCATAACGCCGATTGTTGTTTAACACCGGCCACATTAGTGTTACAACGCACGTGGGTTGGGTGGGTGCTGTGAGCCTGCACGTACAACCGCGTGTATTCAGTACGTGCCAGCGCACGCACATTAACTTAGTGAAGTGGGGGTTCAAGGCGCAGTCCTGCAGCATCTCGCTCACGGCACTGCTGGCCAGGGAGTCCCTGGAGAGAGCGAAATTGGACCGTGTCTTCCCACGGCAGTGCCCACACTTTACCCCACCACACGTGACCTGACTACACTGTGCTGATTTCTGCTGCAGGGTGGAGAGAGGTGTCTGTGGGGGGGAGGGGGGGTTTAAGAAACCTGCAGCGTTTATATTTTTAAACTATTAGATTTTTTTACGAGGTACGGCCCACTGAGCTATACAGCTCTTTTTCAGAAGTGACCTGGCCCCAAATGATAGCTCAACGAAGTCCACTTGCTTCCATGTGGTAATTCATAGCAGCCAAATACTCTAAGCGCATGATTTTTAATGTGGAGGGAAAAACTGGACGAAAAATCGACGCAACCATGAGTGAGAACAAGCAAACTCCAAATATGCAGGCGTCCTGGTTGGGATCGAACCCACTGTATACCAGGCGAGGTAGTTAACATCTCCTATCCACCGCGGTGTCCTTTCAACTGCCACGCGGGTAGATTTAACGGATGAGAAGTGTGCCAACTGTAAAACCACAGCAGCATGATCTCTTGTCGAGAAAAACCCACAAACGATATTGAGGCTTCCTTCATGGACTGCCTTGCCAACTTGTTTTGGCACTGAGTGGAGAACAACAAACTGCTTATTTGCGTTTCTTATTTGACTCTACGTGCCCTCCCGCGTGACCGTTTAGTAGGAGCACACACAAACGGAACGCTTCACCAGCCACGTCTCTTCTTATTCACGAAAGTATAATTTCATGGGACACCCATTTCATGTTACGGTGCTCAAAGATGGTCACAGATCTCCATTCATACATCTGCCATGACAAGAGAGCCTGCATGCGGTGTGAGGGGACTAGTGGCCACGGGAGGTAATGATGGGGAAGTCAGCCCGCAGTGCGAATGCACTAGTGGCCACGGGAGGTAATGACCGCAGGGGTATCAGCTGTGAGTGCGAAGCGACTGGTGGCTACGGGAATGCTCGAGAAGGGAGACGGAAGAGGAAGGTGGAGGGCGGTGGAGTCTTCCGGTGGAGCGAACGTCCAGATTCAGCGAGAAGATTCTGGAAGGGGGGCGTGGCCTTGGCCGGTATATAAAAGGGGGAGATGCGCGGGAGACTCGGGGCTGTTGCAGTGGGGGGTCTCCGCCTGATGTCAAGCGTCAACAACGTGTCTTCAATGAAGTGCCATCTCAACAGAAGTGTGTCAAGTCGTCGTTAGACATCCGTACGTGAAACTTTACTTTGCATCAGGTGAGGGGCAACTGAGCGCAAGAGAAAATGTGCACAGTGCAATAAGTCGTAAAACATACTCTTAGGTTTTTTCGGTAAAGTCACGTATTATTAAATAAATCACTAATTTATTATTTAATTTTATTTCTATTGTTACTTTTAGTAATTTTATTTTTTACCTACGTGACTTTACCGAAAAAACCTAAGAGTATGAATCCTTGCAGTCATGAAAGCTTCATATCTAGAATTAAGTCGTAAAACAACAACAACAGCAAATGAGTGCAAGGGTAATAATTACAATTAAAAGCTCTTCGTATTTATTTTTCCACACGATGAAATTGCAAAAGGTTCGTGACTCTGATGTAGACCTTCTTTCTCCCTTAGCCACCGGGCCACCAACAATGACGTTGCTACTCAACCCAAACAAGGTCCCAACACGAGCAGCGAAATGCACGGCCACAGGGCAGTGAAGGAGGCCTGTGCATAAACAAATATATATAAGAAACTGTTAGAATTTTAACAGGTGAGTTAAACGGTTTACGTATTAAATTTCGATTTAAAGCTTTCGTGACTGCAGGGATTCATCTTCTACGTGACTTTACCGAAAGAACAAAAAAAAGGGTTTACGTATTACCAACATTGACCTTTTACTGATCAAGTCACATTTATGGCGTCTTAAAATACTCTTGAAAAGTAACAAAAAAAATCGGTGCTGCTCCATGCAGTGACCAAAGGGATAGGCCTGTGATCCGAGCAATGGATCTCTTCTTTTTGATTTAAAGCTTTCGTGACTGCAGGGATTCATATTCTTGGTTCTTTCGGTAAAGTCACGTATGAGGGAAATAATAAAATAATATAAATATAAATCAATATTATTTTATTTTTTCCCTTCTTCTTCTTTCGTATGGCCGCTGATATAGTTCCAGAGCAACGACTACATTTTTTTCTACATTCAGATGCTCAAGCCAGACAACCGCGTCAGGAGCAGTAGCGGAGTCGTGCCACGCTGTGATGAAGTCTCTTTCCTCGTTATTTGTGGATCGACCTTTGCATCGTTCAACGTTCTACGGTCCGTTCTGGGTGACCACGGTCGCGCGCTACTACTGGAGAGTTTTTAGTTTTGCATTTTTCCATAAGGCATCTGCCATGGTTTGTGCTGATGCGGTTCAGGGTGGCCCATGAGCTTCGTGGAAGCTCAAACCCAGGTGTCTTCACAGGGGTAACAAATCTACGCCGTTCACGTGCCAAACGAAGTAGAGCCGTGTCCAATTTTCTCGTGTATAGAGTGCTTCTGCATCGTTGATGCTAGGGATGAGTTTCGGATTTAAAGCTATTGGTTTTGCAAATATTCTGAGGCCCATTTATACTGAATATTTTTCAGATTGTCTGGTTAAAACATTTAATTGTATTTGTCTTCACTGTTAGGCCATTAACTTGTAATAACACTAAATTATATATTTTTATTCAAACCATGTGTCATATTCCATTCATCGGTATTTCGTTCTATTCCATTCATTTGAATTATTGTTATTTATACCCGGTAAACTTTTATAGAAACTAAAATTTTTTCTTTGGGAAAAGCAAACAAAAATACAATGGATATGCACTGCAACACAATCCCCTGCAGGAGCTGCTGCTGCTGCTTAATCGTTCGCGGACTGCACTTGCGATCCTGAGGTCGTCGTTTTGATCTCCCAGCGTGGCAGCTCAAACAATGAAAGCGAATCTTTAAAAACAAAATCCTACCTCCACCTCTGTCCACCCAGGTCGCGTGTGGTGGAGTAAATGATGGTTACTCCCACCAGGACGCCTGTTCTGTGTGAACCAATTACTCTCTAAAGGGGCTCTACGGAGCAGTACTCCCAAGCAAATCATTTGCATTGCTGTACATTCAATTCGTATATTATTAACAAAATCCAAGTACATCATGGAACCTCTCTTGCCAGTACCAAAATATACTAATAGGGTTTTTACCCTTTTTTCTGGCAACAAAACTGACACAAAAAGGTGTCAGTTTTGTTGCCAGAAAAAAGGGGAAAAACCCTATTAGTAAAAAATCCAAGTAGTTTTTATCCAAAAGCAAAATAATACCGTACTGTACTTACAGCTGTGATGCCAGAGCACGTGACACATTTTATTGCAAATGCAAAGCTGTGCATGCACTGCCATTCATTATTCAGTGCCACGCGGCACAAATCAATCCCACACAATGCCTGAAAAATGCGATCCTTGCAATTGTAATATATTGCATTAAAAATAATGCAACATTCGCGCTTATAATCCCCCCCTTACCCCCCCTCCCCAAGGATGAATACACTCATTCATAATCCCTTTTCCAGAAAAGCCTCGCTGAGCCACAACCATTTTTTTTTGTTTATTTTTTTTTCTCCTCCGGAGTCTTGCAATGAGAAAGTTTGGCCGATCCCTTCAACGAGAAATTTGCATTTGGGAGCACTGATAGAAAACGTGTGGAGGGAGAGCGTGTGGAGGGAAATAAAACAAAAACGGACTTTAATATCGCCCCATGTGACCATGGATATGTCACAATCCTCACATTCTGAAGTGCAAAGCCCTCACTTGCTGTTGCTTTCATGCTCTCATTTTCTTAGCGACGACATATTTAATCGTCTCGCATCGCGGAACCGTGAGGAATGGCGACGTTTCGAGCGAGGCCTTCATCGAGCAGTGGATTGCTCATGGCTGTTGATGATGATGATGATGAATGTGTAGAAACTATCATCGACTTTGTCCAGAGGGCAACCTACACATGACAAACTGCTCCAAGTTGGTCGTTGCCTTTTGTATACAAGGGACGCACGTGTGAAGCAAATTGAATAGATTAGGCGCGGGAGTGGGTTGTTGATGGGCCGCGGTTGGCCATTTCAACAGAGCAGAAGTGTCAACAATCGGTCTTCTGGAAATGTGTGTTTTGGGACGAGGAATGTCCGTGCTACTGGATGGATCGGCGAATTCTTCCAAAACAAAATACAGAACCTGTTGCAACACACGTGTCGATGTAAGAGTGGATTTACCGCAGAGGCACTCCGAATTGAAAGCTGCTGTGGTCCAGGTGAACTCGCCACGAATGAGTTCGAGGTACTTATAACTTTGGTGATTTTGGTTACAATAATTCCATAGCAGACAATTTCAGTGTCAGATGGCAGGGTGAGTGGTCCCTTTCGTGAGAAACCAGAAAAAAAACCACAAAGCGGATTTGTCCACTGCTCAATGTCGATACGAAGCCTTTGGCCTTTGAATGTAGGAGTGTAGTGGAAGGATAGGATACACAACTTGGCAGTTCAGAATAGGGCCATGGCAAAGTGACATCACTTGGGTGGGACGTGTGTACGATGGAGGAGGGAAGTGCACTCGCAATGCTGTGTATAATCCCAATTGAGAAGTATGCGGCAAAAATACTTTTAACTTAACAGGGATGGGACCGTGAATGGAAAGGACAACGATAAGAAAGAAATAACCGGGTGGCAGGATAAGAGCCAGAGAGAATATCACGCGAGTAAAAGATGTACATTTACAGCAACATGAAGACGGTCAACACATCCCCCGAAGATGCCCTGGACCGAGCCAAATGGAGAAGACAATGCCGAAAAGGGGACCCTGTGCCACAGCGGGAACAACGCTAGGAAGAAGATTTCCAGCAATCACTCAGAGTTGTAAACAACAGAGAAAGGAGCAATTACTCTTAGGTTTTTTCGGTAAAGTCACGTAGGTAAAAAAAAATAATAAAAAAAATTTATAATAAATGAAAATAACTCAATTAAATCACGACGTTTCGGAGGCAACACAAGTCTCCGTCTTCAGGTGGGACCGTCACAGCGAAATTTACTGTATCAGTAAATAACAGTTTATTATTATTTTATTATTATGTAATTTATTATTATTTATTATTATTTATTTTTACCTAGGTGACTTTACCGAAAAAACCTAAGAGTATGAATCCTTGCAGTCACGAAAGCTTCAAATCTAGAAAGGGGCAATTAATACTCATTCGAGCTAAAAAAAAGCTGAAATGATTCTCTTGAGTCTGAACATATTTTCAGGAGAGTTCAAATTGGGTTATGTGCGGTGGAGGATATTAGGATGCCCGTGTGTAAAAACACACACACACACGGGTGCAATGGAAGGACATTCAACAGGTCTACACAGGCAGGCTAATCAACCAAGCTCACTCTATTTCCTCCTGCCCCTGCAGACAGGAGGCTCGGAAACATATTCACAGCGTGATCCGCCAACCCCCCGCTGCTTCCCACGGATTACAGGCGCGCGCAACCATGCCTGGCATGGTAAGCAGCCCGCATGTGCGGCAGGTGCTACACGGGAAAGGATGAGATGTCCCAGCAGAGCAGGATAAATGAGGTCACGCTGGTCTATGGGGAATGAGATTAGGTAGCACTGAAGAGCTGTGGCCGTGGAGATCGTGGTGGCATGAGTGATGACCATTAATGGTTACTGGGGAGTGCACTGTGGCTCCCAGTGCCTCATCACCAACGAGGCATTTGGATGTAGACAGAATCGGAACAAGCTTTGCAAGGGCACTCCACGGGGGTCAACATCGACAAACCTCCCAGGGACACCCACCGGATTTGGTATCAGCACTCCAGCATGGATGGGACGGGTTCACCCACCTGGCGATCTGATGAATTGTCACGATTTGGTGTCACCGTTCAAATTCAAACATCGATTGATTTTTGGCAAGTGGAATCGGCTCTGTTTTTATGGTGAGTCTCAGATGATTTGTTTCACTTGTATTACATTATCCTAACTGTAAAGTAGCATATGATTTGCATTAATAACACATTATATATTTTAAAATAACTAAAGTATTTAACTTTTAATTTATTTTACCAGGTAAGGCCCACTGAGCTATATAGCTCTTTTTCAGAAGCGACTGGCCACAAATGATAGCTCAACGAAGTGGCTCATCACGTGGAAATGTATAGCAACCAAATACTTGAAACGCATGTTGAATCTATATGTGGAGGGAAAAAAACGAGGAGCCTGAAAAAAACCCGCATGACCACGGGCCGAACATGCAAACTCTAAAATATACAGATGTCAGGGTCGGAATCTAACCCACGACATCCTGTATACCAGGCGAGGGAGTCAACATCTCACCACTGCGGTGCCCTAATACACAATTAAATGCAGATACCAAGAGTGTGAGAGTTGATTTAATCGACAGGATTATTGAACCGTAACATCCCGAGTGAGGAGCGACTGTAAAGTAGCTATGAAACAAAAACTCAAACTCTTAGGTTTGTTCGGTAAAGTCACGTAGGTAAAAAATAATAATAAAATAAAAATAATAGAAACAATAATGGAAATAAAATTATAAATCACGACGTTTCGGAGGCAACACAAGTCTCTGTCATCAGGTGGGACCGTCACAGCTAGAATTACTGTATCAAGTGGTACTTGATACAGTATACAGTTGATATAGTCATTTTAGCTGTGACGGTCGTGATTTATCATTTTATTTCTATGATTTTTATTTTATTATTTCTTTTTACCTACGTGACTTTACCGAAAAAACCTAAGAATATGAATCCTTGCAGTCACGAAAGCTTCAAATCTAAAACAAAAACTGGCATTACTCGCAGCAGCAATGGACAACAGGTCATCTATATTGTATGTCGAAGGTAATTATTAATGGTGGACTGGGATTTGGATCAAAACCATAAATACCATTTTTTTTATCAACGAATTCTTTTGTAAAACTGCATTTCAGCATTCAAAGCTCCATATCAGTGTGCCTATGGAAGAGTTTGTTTTTAATCGCAGTGCCCAATACCCACGATGACCTACGGATCAGAAACACGAACGCTGCCAAGGAAGATGTAACACACTCTTGGCAATCGCCTCATGATGCTGCTGGATAGAACCGGCAGCGAAACGTCGGACCGAATTGTTAAGCGACGTCGATCGCTCCCCAACACACCGCGGCAATCGGCAATGCGCGTTCACGTTCGTTCACGTGACAAATCTATTCATTCGGCTGGGTCGGGTGGAGGCCAGGTTGAGTCACAAACCGTACCTCTCCATAACAAAGGCTCACCCTCTTAAGCCTCACCTTACCATATGAATAAAAAGTGTGCCGTACTTGGCCCTTCCCCCCTCTCCAACCATTATATATACGGAGTGGTAGCTCTTGCAATCTCTCATTTACTTGATACAGCTGTCGTGGATGTGACGGTTCCACCTGAAGACGGAAGCTTGTGTTGCCTCCGAAACGTCGTGATTTTTATTTTATTTTACTTTTATTAATTTTAATGTTTTACCTACGTGACTTTACCGAAAACACCTAAGAATATGAATCTTTGCAGTCACGAAAGCTTCAAATCTAGAATGGAGGAGGGGGGTGTACAACGCACAATGGCAGTGATCTGACCTCAAAGCAAGAAAGTATGAATCATGACCCTCACTGTTGGCCAAACATTTAAAGTTCAAGTGAAACAAGGACAATCTTCTTCTTCCACGCGTGTGTCCCACTCACGTGCGGTCCGCTATCCTTGCCAACCTTCTCCCACCACGCTGCCCCGTCCAGCGCCACAAATTTCCCAGCAATAATTGTTTGGCAGTGCATGACAATTGAGAACTCAAGCCAATGTTGTGTGTTGCACTCGTTTTAAATAGGTAAAACAACCAGGCATGTTTTCACTTTGTCTGAGGTGTAAAGTTTTACATTCGAAGACGTTCGACAACTCTTGAGTATTTCTATTATTGTTTTTTTCGGTAAAGTCACGTAGAAGGGAAATAATAAAATAATATTAATATAAAACAATAAAAATTATCACGACGTTGCGACTGCAACACAAGCAATCGTCATCAGGTGTGAAATGCACAGCAAGAATTATTATTATTTTATTATTTCCCTTCTACGTGACTTTGCCGAAAGAACCAAGAATATGAATCCCTGCAGTCACGAAAGCT